ATTGGAATGAGAAAAATGCGTAAAGCAATGAGAATATTGTTAAAACTGTGTGCAAAGCATACTGTACACTGCAATGATAATAAAATAATTACCAACTGTGATTATATGTGGTCGATATATTACTTTGTACTATTCCATTTAGAAGCTAGATTTTTATAACTCACCAAACTCAGAATTCGAGAGAAGGTCGAAGCAAAGGAGGAGGACAGGGGGATTTAAAGATTTAGTGGCGAAAACAGAAGTTGAAAAAAATCGTTCCACGATCACAATTTGACCTGCTAAACATAATTTTTTCGTATTTAATGTTTTAAACTTTGTTGTCGGTATAATACGTTTTAAATGTAAAAGTGTAACAAGACAACTACTTAAGTTTAAAGATTGTTGAAATATAGACCAACACGTAATTGACTTTAAATTAGAGAAATCGAATGCATCTCGCCCTGGTTCTTTATAAAATATTGCGTAATTCCATTTTCAAGATAAGAGAAAAGTCCTAAGTTCCCTCAAGCCTCAAAACTTACCTAACCAGACTCCTGTCATCCAATAAAATAATAAAATTAAAACCTTAACATCTCTTAGCACGTGTTATTATTAACATTAACTGTAAGGAGATAATTAACTAGAACTAGCCAGTTCTAAAACAATAAAGAAAATGCAAGCGTGTAATAAATGAGAAACCATTTTGCCTAAAGCACGAGAAAAATATAGATTAGTTAAAGATAACTTTCCCATTTCTGGGCAGCCATTTGTTTTACACTTGGTTTCAAGAGCGCTGAGCGCTACTTATCCTTCAAGTAATTTTATCTTTTGATGTTACTTTAACTGCAACGATATACGATATTTTCTTCGTACATTATAAAATAACAAGTAAAATTTCGCAGATTTTCTGTGTTTTATTCGTGGATTTACAGGTGTTTTAGAAAGAAGTTTTAGTTTTGGACCTGCCATATACCTTTCCCGGGTCATGTGAGGTCCTACAAACATTTTAGTTTTTGACCTGCCATAAACCTTTCCTGGGTCATATCAGGTCCTACAAACATTTTAGTTTTTGACCTGCCATAAACCTTTCCTGGGTCATGGGAGGTCCTACAAACATTTTAGTTTTTGACCTGCCATAAACCTTTCCTGGGTCATGTGAGGTCCTACAAACATTTTAGTTTTTGACCTGCCATAAACCTTTCCTGGGTCATGTGAGNTTACAAACAATAGTCATCGATTATTTTTCGACGCATTCGTAAATAGTTGATATTTCATAATATTTTGTATTTTTCATGATTTGAGAGTTACATTTTTTCCTGTTTCGAGGATTTTTGATAATGAAGACGACATTTTCATATTTTCCAGGAATGTTCGAAAATCCAGCGCCAGCGAAAATTAATCTAAAAAAACAAAATCAAGAATATTATGAAATATTAACTATATATGAATGCGTCGAAAAATAACCGATTACTATTGTTTGTAATATCTGAATGATTTGTTTGGAATTAAATTGATTTGTTTACGATCCGAGTTGAATGTTGCATCTTTCCGAATTTGTATGGGCGCTGCGTTCTTCCGTGTGAGTCGTTTCTAACAATTTTCTCCTTATAGAAGCAACAGATAGAAGTAAGATTAGTAGCGATCAAAAGCGCTTTTTTATCGCATTAAGCCTACACCCCCTTTCATTTTTCGCGAACACTCCCTTTAAAAAATTGATAATGCGTTCTCGTTAGCTTTACTTAAGAACAAGTTCTGCATGGAATAAAATAATCAACATTCAACATAAATAATGGAAATACTTGTTAATTAGTACAAAAACGTTTCTTAAATTGCAGTCTTTTAAGGGTTAAATAAAGATCTTGAAGGGTGTCAAATTGAAATTGTTTTTAAAATTTTACTTAGATGCTAGGATAAAGCTGACCCGATTTAGTAATAATCAATATCTCCGTTCTGGTAAAAATTAGAAACCCTGGCATCAGTGGGAACAAAATTCACTCGTGCGTTAAATAACCGAGAGTTGCGTCAAAATTAGATAAATTTGCGTCAAAAATTATTCTATAATCGTGTACTACCTCTCAGCCTTGACACATATAGATATATATATATATATATATATATCTTTTTAAAATTAGTATAGAACATGTTCTATTGTTTATTAAGATTGGTTATTGCTGGACATTGTGTTTCATGTTGGACATTCTTCAGCAGCATATATATATGAGGGATAGCAAACTAAGAAGATGAAGATAGTCAAATAAGGATTTGAGTCTATGCAACAAACTAAAATTTTCTAATACCTATATATTTAAAGCCTGATGGTGTAATCTTTGAAATTTCAAACCTAGATTATTTGATCTAACAGAATTCAAAGCTTGAAATATCTAAAAACCACGACATTGGGTTGCAAAAATATAGGGATTACAACATTTGAGTTTGTGGCAAAGACTTTGACCGACATTACTGGTATGACTTTGTTTCCGCGTAGAACACATACTTTACATTTTAAGCATTTGTACGAGAGAACCAAATTAATTTTGTTACATATTACATATCTTGGTTATTCTCTGTAGTTCTTCACTAGGAGGAGTTATCATTGAAAACATTGAAGACTTTAATCATATGTGCAATCTGCATTTTCTCGTTAAGAAACCATTGTATGAAATATAGTTGACGGCCTTTTGACCAATATTACCGATCCATGATTCCCCAAACAGAGGGACGTAATAACGACACGCTCTACAAAGTTTTGATAAAAAATTCGCGCATTTTAATCTCAAATGTTGTGTACAATACAAATACTTTTTCTGGAAATTAAAATTTTTACTTAACCACAAAAAAAAACATCCCTCGCCGCGCTCTGGATGTTTTGTAAGCAAAATTGGTCTTAGGAACCCAATTGGCGATTAGTAAAATTCCCTCGAATTCCCTGTATAGTAGTTTTAAAGAATTTATAAACTATACGTTGTTCCTTCTGAACTCTTCACTAAGCATGAGATTGCAAGAATTGTAATTCTGACTTGCAGAAAATCTAAGTGCAGTTTTTACAAACTATTAAATAATAAAAATAACAAACTATGTGTAAAATAGACATTTTCAAAAAGTAAAATTAGCTCAGTCGTAAAGCACAAAGTACAGTATGAAAGAGGTGTTTCTTAAATATACTTTTTATAATAAAAGATAAAGTAATTTATTTGTTTCAAACAAGAAATATATAGACCAGGAACCGTCATATCTGATGCGTCAAATCTGTGTACTGCAGTGGGAGGAGATCAAAACAAAGAATTCAGGGGTAACGCATCATTTTCGAGGGATATTGTGTTTTCCATATTGACCAGAAAGCCAAAAATCATAAGTTTTCCGCTCTAACTTGATATATTAACTTGCTTTTTGTTGGACTGTGGGGGCAGTAGCTACAGTACACAATTTGCGTATATCTGAGTTGGGCGTTCCTGTATATAGTTCCAGGTGCCATTAAACATACGCACTTTTATTTACGCTTGCAGCTTTATTTTACTGTACGCTTGAAAGCGGATAAAAGAAAGATTCATTCAGGAAAAAAACAGGAACAAAGAAACATATATTCTCTGCTTCTTACCTGTAAAATGTTTTTTAAACCATGACGTGTGAAGCTAGAGCATATCTTTCTTTTACGAATACAATAATATATATAAATAAATAGATAAATAGATAAATAAATAGATAAATAGATAAATAGATAAATAAATAAATAGATAAATAGATAAATAGATAAATAGGTAACTAGATAAATAGATAAATAGATAAATAGATAAATAGATTAATAGATAAATAGATAAATAGATAAATAGATAAATAGATTTTTTCCCCAGGATTTGACAACTAAAGCATCTTTCTTTTTGAAACACTTGGCGCCTTTGAATAGAAAAATATGTATGAAAATTAAAAGTAGAGAAATAGATGCTGGATAGAAAAAAAAGAGAGATAGATAGACAGATATAATAAAAAGGTTGATAGATAGATGGAAAAAAAATAAAGATAGATAGATAGAATAATAAGATAGATAGAAAACAAGATTTACAGAGAAATAAAAATTTAAAAGATTAAGTAAAATTAAATCATTTTGCATATTGCAAGGTTTGCGGTTTAAAGTACACAAGATGTGCAATATGCATTAAGTTTATCGGTATTATAATAGGTTTCTGCAGGACTGGAAAGTTTATAATAAACGTCAATCTAATTATTGCAAAGGGGGGATATTATTTAATATTTACAAATCTTCTAACTTTTTTCCCTTAAGATGATCGTTCTCTTATTTACAATTATGCCGCCGAAATTATTCATTAAATCCTGGTTACCAGAGGATAGACATTTTTTAACTTGTCTCTGCTGCATAAAACCATAAGTCATTGTACGAGAGAAATCTTATTCAAAAATATCAATTGTTATTCAGAAAAACAAGAATGCCTCCATCATATGATTCTCTCAGACAAAGGAATTGAGTGTTTGCCACAAACTTTGATTTTCCAATCTTTGCAAACAAATGTCGTAAACCTTGATATTTCACACTGTGAATTCTGTTAGATCAAATAATCTAAATTGAAATATCAAAGGTGTACCCCATAAGATTGCAAAGATATAGGGATTAGAACATTTAAGTTTGTGGCAACTTGGCAAGTACTCGATCGCTTGTAATTTCTGAAATGTAGGATCACTTGAAATTATGTGGACATTCCCTGGATTTCATATTTAATTTAACATCAATACCGTCGTACAGTTAAAGCGTCAAATAAGCGCTACAATGTTGAAATAAACCCTATAATTATTTTGTCAAATTTTGCATCATATTGATAACTATCAATCAATCCTTTCATGGATCTTTTCATGGACCCTTAATTTTATGGACCCTTTTATGGCTTTCATGAATCCTTTCATGGACCCTTATTTTTATGGACCCTTTCATGGAACCTATCATGGATTCTATCGTGGATCCTTTCACGGATCCTTAAATGAATCCTTTTATGGATCCTTTCATGGATCCTATAATGGATTCTATCGTGGATCCTTTCACCGATCCTATAATGGATTCTATCGTGGATCCTTTCATGGATCCTTTCATGGATCCTTTCATGGATCCTTTCATGCATCCTTTCATCGGTCCTTACATAAATCCTTTTATGGATCCTTTCATAAATCCTTTTATGGATCTTTTCATGGATTCTTTCATGGATCCTTTGATGGAACCTTTCATGGATCCTTTCATGGATCCTTTCATGGATCCTTTCATGGATCCTTTCATGGATCCTTTCATGGATCCTTTCATGGATCCTATCATGAATCCTTTCATGGATCCTTTCATGGATCCTTTCATGAGTCCTTTCATGGATCCTTTCATGAATCCTTTCATGGATCCTTTTATGGATCCTTTCATGAATCCTTTCATGGACCCTTTCATGAATCCTTTCACACATCAACTTTCAAAATTCAGGTCTCTAAAGTTTAAGAAAATAAGATTTGTTTTTATAAAACATTTCTGTCTGCAAAAACACTAAAAGTAAACATAAACAACCACTCACACCAGACAATGTATCTGACGGTATGCTTGCATGCAATATGCAAACATATTTGTAGTTTTAGTTCTTATTCGTAGCGACTCAGTGCTTTCGTGAAAAGCAGCTGAATTGTATTTTCACGATCTTTCATTGTGCATTGAACGACAGAAGATTTGTTTGGCTTATATAAAATATACAAAAAAAATTTACTTAATCCGTCAACAACAAAAGTAACAGATTAGTGCCTTTTTCAGGGATTAATAATTTAAAAGTTTTGAAACCCGGTTTTCAAAATAGAATATTTGAATGATGCAAGATGGAACGGAATTAGATTATTCAAAAATACGAAACTGAATATGAATAAACCTGCGGTATTGGAACCTATTCAGTATTCACAGTTTGATTAATGAAACAGAAATATAAAACAAAACTGAATATTTCATAATTGAGAAATCCTACTTGAGACTTATAGAAACTCCTACTTTATCTAAAAGTATCTGAAATTCTAAAATTCTTATAAAAATGGGAAAATAAATGTCAGATAACATATATTCAGTTCATAAGTTTTAACTTTATTTCTATGCTTTTTTTATCTACCAGAGCTGGAAACGTTAGAATGGTGGATATCGAGATCCATGCTTAATCCTCTCTCTTTCTTAATCTCGAGACTAACTTAATCTTGTACTTGTATCCTGAAAAGTTTATAAAATTCAACCAATCATAATCGCGTATCAGAAGCCGGGAAATTTTTCGCGCCATTTAGGATTAATATACAGAAACGAGAGGTTCTTTCTAATTTTGAAAAACCGGTTTTCGATTTTTCTGAACTATATCCAAAAAAGAGTGAATAATTTGATAAAGAGAGAAATTAAAAGTGTCCACATTGGATATTCAGATTAAGCAGTCGGATTAAATGTATCCCATTCTAAAGTTCCCAGCTCAGGACAAACAAAGTAGTACATTTATATAAATATATATCTTAGTTCTCTAGGCCTGGCTGCAAATTAACAACATTCACAACTTTTACTTTTTAACTGTATTTAATGTCTGGTGTTTAATGGGGCTTAACACAATGAGACGTAATTCTTTAACTCCGTTTTTGAACAGTCCACGCCTATACTAACTAATTCACAACATTCTGTCGGAGTACAATGTTAATTTGCATTAAAAGTAGAAAAAAACGTCGAAAAAATCAATATTGTTTGAAATCGTGTAAAAACAATTAAAGAACCTTTCGAACCTAAATTTTTCTAGATCCATCAAATTTAGTTTTTTCTCTCTCATAAACTAATTGTTTAAAAGGGATCAATCGTTTCAAACTTTCGACTGAAAAGAATAATTTAATCGAAAACTGTGAAAAATATTTGGATTCATGCCACGCAAGGGAATAGAGTCTTTGTCACAAACTGATTTTCTAATTCCTATATCTTTGCAGTCAAATGTTGTAGACATTTGACATTTTAAACTATGACTTCTGTTAGATCAAATAATATAAGTTTGAAATATCAAAGGTTTACGACATTGGGTTCAAAAGATATAGGGATTAGAAAATCAGAATTTGTGGCAAGGACTCAATTCCTTAAGAGATATATTCAGTACCTGGGCCAAATATTTCAGGAATTATTTGAACGTAATTAAAGACCCATCAAAAAAGTATAAATATATAATAAAAATCTTCATTTTACGGATGAAAATGGGTCGGGTCGAAAATAGAAAAATGACAATAAAGTTAAAAACCTATAGCCTTGCAAGAAAGTATATTGAAAGTAACAAATATACATTTTACGAATGAAAATGGGGTCGAAACTGAGGGATTATTGATTATTTAACCATGACAGTTGAATTTCCGTAATGTGGTTTTCTTTTCAAATCATTAAAATTTTTCTGCCAAAATTTCATTCTTAAATAAATAATGTAGGACACAGTCACACAAACAATTTCACACAGAATCGAAAGTTTATACACGAGTATATTTAATTATATCTGCAGGATCAATCAAGGGAAATTACTTTCACCGTGAAGCCTGCCATATGTGAGAAATACGCAACAAACCAAACCAAACCGAAATAACAATATTTTAATTTTACACCGCCCTTGTTCTCTGTACAAAATAATCGATGAATTACAAACAAATAAATTTTATTGTCACCTATGATACACTATACATATATATCTTGTTACGGAGTAATCCTCTGACTTAAATAAGGTTTGTACGAGTGTCAGAGGATTGCTCAATAAATTACCCAAATGTGCCGGAAAAGCACATAACAACAACATTGTGAATATCACATACGACTAGGTCACATGACACAGTCTCGCCCCACAACCAAGATGGCGCATTTTTGTCATGTTGCGGATTTTCTTGTTTTCAAGTGGAACCCAGTTGAGAGCACGAGTACAGGAAGAATATTCAGCGATCAATTCGTCGCAGCTCTTTAAACAGTAACTAACTAATTCAAGACTAATTAATTAGAGAAGGTTTCCACAGGGGATCTTGGAGCATTCAGATGGTAGAGCGAACTGTTTGGCGTATTTGGAGTATTTCTTGGGAGCCAAGAGGAGAGCAGAGGTGGTGAGAGTGGAGCTGATTCCGGCATCCTTAGCAACGGCTCCAACCTGGCAGGCAATACGCTCCATGCACTCTTCAGATTCAATAACGGCCTAGAAATAAAAATAATAAAAATTAAGTGTTTTTGCTTTGTCATTTCATGAATAGTAATAAAAATAAAACCAAACCTGCATGAAATTTTGTTAATTTCATTATAATTTAACATGTGCGCGCTGCAAAAAGTCGGAAGTAGTTTAATTTATGACGCAAAACAACAATTAAACGTAAATATATTAAATATTGAATAGAGTTAGAGTGTGTAGAAGTGAGATCTAATGTTTACGAACCATATCAACAGGGTGTTCGAAAAAAAACCATATCAAATATTTAAAAAAAAAAATATCTTTTAAAAATCGTTCAAACTAAAACTTTGAATATTTTTACAAGCCATTCCAAAATAAAGAGATTTTTAAAAGTCGGATGACTTTTTTATTGTATATCCTTTCTAACCATTGATATCTATGTTGGCGTGAACCCATGCTAGTGTGATGCAACCCTGTACCCCTAGTTTAAATATACCTAGAGATATCTTATGCATGGATAAATTCAAAACCATCAAATCAGAATGATTTCTAATTAGTAAATGATAATACAATTGGAAAAATGCTGGATATATCGAGGACGGAGGGGGGGGGGGAGGTCTGAAGGAAGTTTTTCATTTGGAAAAAAAACAAATAAACCTTTTTTCTTATTTCCTTGGAAAAAAGATTGAATACTATATTTGAATTAATAGAACCTTGTAAATGTAAACTAAATCAACGAACAACCCCTTTAATTAAGTACGCTTTGATGATCAATGTGATCGGAAAATTGTGAACGAACCCTTTAAAAAAATTCTGTATCTTGAGAACGAATCATTCAATACATTTTTGATCTTCCCTTTAATTCTTAATATAAACTCCGTTACTGGTTCTTTAACACTTAAAAGAAATCACACGAGAAACCCTTTAAAGAAGATTTCTCAACTTTAGAAAAACAAACTTGGCTCTGCACTTAGAAAAGATTTATAGAAATCATTTACAGCGTCTGCCTAGTTTAGGGTTTAATTAAGATTTTAATTATACTTTCTTTTCAAATTTCAACCATGGTGCAGAAATATGTTTTTAGTTAAATTTTCACGCATTTTCTCATAAAGAACTTTAAAGAAAAAATAGTTGATTTAATGAATTTGTAATATCTATTTAAGAAGTCATGTAAACCCTTTGGGTGAATTTTCTGTGTATATAATTAACTTGCTTATATAAATAACTTGTTAATTAAATTACATAAGTAATCAAATTATTTTATTATATTTATGTGTTTAAATGAATTTTTTTTCAAATTTCGATTAACGTTAGAAATATCAGAAATGTGGAAATATGAATGAATTTGTGCTAAGCAATCGGCGTGAAAGGTTACAAAGCTAATAAGCTAATTGCCATACAGCTAAGCTTGATAAATGACATAAAGTGTGCAACTAAAAAAAAACATATTTTGAAGCAAACAGTGTTCATATCTGAAAAGTGTGTTTTTCTGAAACGAATTCTAAAATATTTGAAAGATTCTCACCATGTACATATCCTGGATTCTGTTAACGACATCAGTAGCGAGATCAGTCTCAGCAACATCCCTCTTCCGTCTCACGGTGGTCAGGGAGACATAGGTGGGGAAGAGGAGGAACAAACCGATCAGGGCGATGATGGGAATGATGATGATCTTAAGATCAAAAGCAGGGGCGGGAGATCCATAAGATGGGGCTCCATAAGAGGGAGCGGGGGCTCCATAGGAGTCAGCAGGGGCGTCATAGGATTCAGCAGGGGCGGAGTAGCTAGGAGCGGGAGCTGAATAGCTAGGAGCAGGGGCTGAGTAGCTAGGTGAAGGGGCTGAATAGCTAGGTGCTGCAGGGGCTCCGTAGCTATCATCAGGACGAGCTTGAGCTGCTGCTGCCAGAGCTAATGTCGCAAGTATATATCTCATCTTGCTTCTGTCAGGGGTTGGGAGAGACTGTGCGCGTTTGAAGGAACCGAACCGTATATATTAATTCACTCACTCACATACATATTTACCCGCGTAAACAGGCGCACGGTCAAACGCGCGTACAGGTGACATACTATCCTCGCATTTTAGAGCGGGAGATTTCATCCTCAACATTTCTTTTCAGGGTCAAATTTAGATTTTAAACGAGATTCGATTTTCAGAGTTTCGGAAATTGTGCAGATTAAGATTAAGAATGAGTATGACGAAGTATGACGGAGTATGACGAAAGCATGTGATGAAGAAGAGAAGGTGGGGGGGGGGGGTATTTTTGTTGACTTATTCGCCTTCACGTTTGATTTCAACTGTTCTAGTTTTAAGAATCTCATTAGACTTTGATAAAACCACATGAAACGTTGTTAAAGTCTATTAAAACTATCCTTGCTGGGAAAAATAATAGGAATTGCTAACAGGCCCACTTGTTTAATCTCAAAGAAATGTTCTAGCTTTGATAATGAATCATAACTTATAATTTGACTATACGTTCAAAGTGAACTTTTTTTGAATAATACTTATAACTAAAAGTATAAAGCCAAAATTCCAGCTATAATAAATTCTATTAGAGTCTTTTGGAGTCTTTTTTAGGAATGGCTATTAAAATGGTAGAATCAGAATAAGATAATAGGAAAACATGAGAAACCAACATTAATAATGTATTTTTGAAACAGTAGCTGTTATTATGTGATACGCTCAGAGCAAAAAAAAAACTGCGTAGTGTGAACATGAGTATTTAATGGAAACAAATCAAAACGAAGTATCGATAAAGTCTGTATCTTTCGGTAATCTTTTCAATTTGGTCTAAAATAAATTTTTGACATTTTTTGTAGCAATGCAATTTTTAACGATAGCTTATTCTTTTCATTTAGACGAATTCTAAATCAGACATAAGTTGTATTTATTTATAACATTTTTCTTATTTTCTTGTAGTTTTGATAAGGTTCAGCCTGGGCTTGATTAAAGTACAACCGAACTTAAAATGCAAAAAGATTAATACAAAGGCACAACTAGTGTATTTTTTAAGGAGGGGGGGGGGAGGGCGAGGTATGTGATGTTTTTGGTGTTGAGATAATTAGGCGCGCCGCAGGAGAATTTTTTGTTAGAATATAACTTATACACAATATATCTGATTTATACAACTTCACTAGTGTTTTTGACCAAGGAATTTTCTTAATCCCGTAACTATAACTTCTCCTTTGGAAAGATAGCCCCCCCCCCCGCCTTTAATTCTTACCCCTTTCAATGAATTATTAGAGCTGAAAACTTTTGAATGGAATTTCCTTTATCCCGATCGGTTAATTAATCTGGAGATTAATAACAAGAGGTGAACAAGCATTATTTACTCTGGAGATTAAAAAAAGAGGAGATCAAGCTTAATTTCGATATCCACCATTCTAAAGCTCAGTAATCATTGGCTTTGTATGTCGAGTTAAAATTTCATCTTTTCATTCATAAATCATTGCTAACAATTAAACAATGCCGTGCAAAATTAGTGCAACAAAAGTTGCAAAAAATCGGGGAAATTCTGTACACTCCTCGCCGACATTCATGTTTAATCCGTCAGCTGTTGATTTGATCAAATTAAAAAACACGACTTGTTTGGTTTGTCCTTGTAAGTTACAATCAAGTAAATATTTGTATATCCATGGTGAGTGGTTTCAAACTAATTACATAATATTAACACGTTCTCTAGACATTTAGTAAATAATTAAACTAATTTATTAGCATGTTTGCATGCCGAATAAAGGGAGAAGCTTGTTTATATTGCAAAGCAGTTTAAAACATGAACTGGGGTTAATCAGGCACTATAGTATATAAATTACATTGTTTCCAGCTAGGTAGTGCTGATAAATTAATAATATTCTACAGGTTTCTTAAACACTTTCACTCTAAACTTTCATTTTTACAAACATTACAAGATGCATTCTGTACCCTTGCTCCTTCATCAGACCTGAAATTTTCTTTTTCATGATTTAAATAAAAATTTGTCCTCAATTCTGTCTCCTTCCTCCCTTAGAAATAATCGGTTCAGCTAAAAAAGCTCCCAATAGTATTTTTTTAACTTTCTGTAGTTTACATTTTTTTAATTTCTTTATTTTCCAAGTTTTATGATTTCTTTCTCCTTTCTTTTCTTTCCATTTAGTCTTTTTTTAGAAATCAATTTGTTTCTATTGTAGTCGTCTTTGCTTGTTGCTTCTTTCTAACTTTACGTATAGCTTCAGGTGTCAGGTTTCAGTTTTTAAAACACAAATTTTGAATATAAAACTTGGATGGTTGGATTCGGTAATAATATTGTGCTTAGATTAAATTGGCGAATCAGTCGCATAGAAAATATAGAAATTAATCTTTTAATTTTAGTTTTCAAATGTTGTATTCAACAATGAGAGCGGAACGCCACCGCCGCGTCGTACTTTTCTATATTTTCCGGTGAAACTGATATCTATTCAAGTATTTATTTTAAATCTCAAAGATGAACTATAATCTCAGGATAGAGATGAACTATAATCTCAGGATAGAGAGGAACTATAATCTCAGGATAGAGATGAACTATTGTAGCAAATACCTACTCGGTAACAATTTAGTTGTATCTGTCCAGGTCTATCAGTTAATACAATTAAACAGCACCGACTCTAAATGCCACACAGGGACACAAGCATCCAATAATAACTATAGTTTCAGTAGAAAAAAATATTTCCATTTACTGATACAGGCAATTGAATGATTCATAACTCTAATTGGATAGTGAGATAGATAGAAATGTTGATGTTACTGCAACACTATTTCTTTTGGTTCAGAATAGACAACAAACACATGATTGAACCCTGATTGGATCAGGCGATAATGGACTTGGCATACAGGAGTGAGGACTAACTCTCAGGCGTGTACACAAGCCGTATCTCTACTCGTATAATTAAACAAGGACTTAAGCTATTTTTTCAAGCTATAATCAATTCAATGCCAAATTGCACAATCTCATGAGCTATCGATGTCAATCAGACACTAGCTAGTCTGAATCAATGCTTGAGCTAGATGAACTATTGAGATGAACTATAATCACAGGATAGAGATGAACTATAATCTCAGGATAGAGATGAACTATAATCTCAGGATAGAGATGAACTATAATCTCAGGATAGAGATAAACTATAATCTCAGGATAGAGATAAACTATAATTTTTAAAAGAGGCTAAATTCAATTTACATATGCTGAAACGTTAAGACACTTTTCTGAATAACATGAAATAATTTCGCAACAATGTAATTAAATGTTAAAATACGCAGTGGCTAAATTTTTCCTTATCGGGCCTAGAAAATAGGGGAATGGAAGGGGGAGGGGGTATCTACTTCGAGTAGGAAAATAATCTAATTTATCCAGAGGTAAAATTTATCAAAATTTTTGAGTAAAACAGCGCTAATCTCAATCGCTTGATATCGATATCCACTGTGACAGTTTAAAATTTTTTAAAAATCTTTCGGACGGTAAATATACAGGATAGCTTTCTCTTCCCAATCTCAGAGTTTAAAAACGCCCAGGACTAGTCACAAGAGCCAAATTTTGTTGTTGACAAAGAAGAGGGAAGGTTTGTTTAATATTTCTTTGCACTTTCTGCACTTCATAATAAAAATTAATTTAAATTGTGCAAAAACATGATTGTCAAATCGAATTAAAAACGTTTTCAAACTTTGAATATCATGTCCCCAATATCGGGTCAAGGGGCCTCATTTCTTCATGAATAATTCAAATTGACCAGATTTATTTAGTTTTATTAATCCCTTGTTTGTGTAAATATCCTGACAACGAATGCAGGGAAAGCATGCCTAGGCCGAACCTTCTTCACAAAAATATGATAATTTCAAAACAAAACTTTTAGAAATTTGCATAAATTTCTTTGAAAGGTTTAAAGTTTCTACAGAAAATCTCCCTATTTTTAACCTGTTGATTAATATCTTTAGTTGACGGGGTATTTTTTTTACACTATGTGGACAGTCATCATACCACCCACACCACCGTACAGAGACTCCTAAAATAATATGGAATCTAGGATTATATTTACTGACATGTTTTCGTTTAAAGTGATTGTTTACGACGCTAAATTTGTGATTTCTATTCGCCGCTGTTTAAAAAAACGGACTGTTCGTTCATAATATACCCAACCTCGGGTTTTCATGAATACTCCCTTTCAGATAAGATTTTTTTTACTTCACGAAACCAGGTTTATAATCATAATTTCAGAATAAAATAAACAAAAACAAAAAAAATGTCAAGCGATTTGGCTAAAAATCAACAATTCCTTAGGGATGCGTTTAAAGGTTAGTTTATTAATCAGGAATTGATCAACAATTATAGGATTGATTTGCTTATTAGTAATTGATTCAATGATCTATGATGGTAAATCGATTTGTTCCTGATTTTTCTGTAGTTGATCTTAATCAATGCTGCTTCGATTGATCAGTAATCGATCTATAAATGTCCAGGTTTTGACCTGAACGGGGACGGGAAGGTGTCCGTGAATGAGTTCAAGAGCATCATGAGGAGGAGCAACAAGCAACTCAGTGACGAGGAAATCGACGAATTGGTCGAAAAGGCTGACGTCGACGATGATAGGTGAATTTTTCCGAAATTAACGAAAACGAAAATAAGACTCCAAATTAAACTTTAACAAATTTAACAGTGGAACAGCATCAAATTATGATTTTAATGACCAAATGAACTTAAGACAGAGCAATCGAGCTTACACAGAGACCCATTGAACTTAATAAGTTTATCTCCGAGCTACTCGTCAAACATTTTACATTAAAACAACATCTAATTCGTTTTCCTATTCCACAGTTGTTTGGGCCCCACTGTACGACTTCTAAAGGAAATCTATTCATTATATGTTCTAAACCTGATGGTGTAAAGCTTTGATATTTCAAACTTAGATTATTTGATCTTATCAAATTCATAGTTGGAAATAACAAAGATTGCAAAGATATAGGAATTAGAAAATTAGAGTTTGTGGCAAAAATTTGATTCCGTTCAATTAAGATTTAAATATTACACATACAGAGTGAGTCAAAAAAAGTGTGATTTGCAGCGCCTAGTGCAAAATTGTACCATTTTTGTGCAACTCTCGACTGTATGGGTGTTTTTCAATATTTTTTGAAAATTTGTAATTTTTTTGGTACTTCTATGGCCCAAAAAAAAGTCCGCGAACTTTTTTTTCTCTCAAAATCAAATTTCATAAAAACAAAAATGTGCAAATAACTTGTTTCTATCAAAATCTAACATTTTAAAAAGATTGAATCACGGAATCTCAGAAAATTAGCAAAATTGTAATTAGAAAATTCGCAATTTTCAGTTCTGGTATATTTTTACGGAAAATTTCAATTATTCTTAAGGTTTCAACTAAAACAGCGTATATTTAGTACTTTAGAATATACTAAGAAGAAAGGGTCTAGAGAATTTAAATAACTTTTCCTTAAAAATCAGACCAGAACTAAAAATTGCGAATTTTCTTATTACAATTTTGCAAATTTTCTGTGATTCTGTGATTCAATCTTTTTAAAATTTAAGATTTCGATAGAAATAACTTATATACATATTTTTGCTTTTCGAACTTTTTTTTTGAGAGAAAAATAAGGTTCGCGGATTTTCTTTAGGGCCATTGGAGTACCAAAAGAAATTACAAATTTTCAAAAAATATCGAAAAACCCACATACAGGAGAGTTGCACAAAAAAGTACAATTTTGCACCATCATTTTAACAATAAGTTAACAGATGATTTTCTAATCCAGGAGAATCAATTATGAGGAATTCTGCAAAATGATGAATTAGAGTTCTGTGGAAAAATGTTGTTTTTTGTTGTTGAAAATTGTTTTTTTTAATATGATCTATTTGGTTTATGATTAAAATAAAAACATTTTGTAGCTCTACATCTTTGAAAGAAGAAAATCTAAGGTTTAATTTTTTTTTCTCTATCTACTATTTTCCGTAACCAAATGGATCATGTCTAATTTTTAAGGTTCTGTGTGTGTTATCATGCTACTAATTGTTATTATGTTTTAATTATTATTATGCTGAAATGCAATATTATTTGTAAATATAATTGATTAATTCATATTTATTTCTATTCATATTTCAAATCTCCGTGCACTCTTGACAACAAAGCAAGTTCTAAAGCTTTAATGCGTGATGGAAAGTCTGTTAAAGAACATCATGTTTATTGGTGTTAGGTACTTTCTCACAGGCATTTTCACAAGGGCGACTTCCCAAGTGACAATTTATCAAGTGGAAACTTCCCAAATGTGCAATTTCCCAAACGGCAAATTCCCAAAGGTTAGGTAAGGACCTCAGAGGCCCCGCAGGCTGCAATGGGGGCCGAGCGATGCGGCTAGGATTGGATGGAGGCCGAGCGCCGAGGCTAGAACAGGCTAGGGGCAGATTGCTACGGCTAGGATAAACTTGGGAAGTTGACACTTGGAAAATTGCACATTTGGGAAGTTGAAATTTGGAAAAATACCTTTGGGAAGGTGCCACTTGGGAAAAATCCTTCGGGAAAGTATCTAACATCTTTTATTAACCACATTAAATTATTCACGATTTATTTCTAAATGCTGATTAGGGTGATTTATGACATCAATTATGATTAATAGTCAAATCTATCACTATTAATAATACCCAATTTAAACAAACCAAAATATGTAGAACATGAAATATTCATTAAGTTCAAGAAAATATCCATTGGTTAATAACAATACAGATAGAACACTAGCTGTCGTCTTTTCAAGAATTAAGGGGTTTTCGTTCACAATTACTCCGAGGCTGAAGCCCTAAGGAGTTACGCGCAAGCTACATTGACTTACAAGACATAGAGAGAGTTTGCGCGTAACTCAGGGGTATACTGAACGAAAAACCCCTAAATCTGAAAAGATGTTCTATCTGTATAGTTATCAATTTATGGAAATATCAAAGAAAGTGCTGATATTTATTAACCCAAGGTTTCAGGGCACTGGAAACAATTTTTCTGCAAGCCTTTCTCACATTTGAAATAATATCAAAACAAACATGTCATTATTTGTGTTTCTTAATGGCATATTTCGAATTCTTAAATCGATAGTATTTTTTAAAATCTAACTTGCGATACTTGGAATCACGTGAAAACTTGCCACAAAAAATAGGGCCCGATTCGGCCTTTATGACGTTTATTGCATACATTGATTTTAATGCACAACATTACTTCAAACTCTTAGTTTAATTGCATATTAGAATTTAAAACATTTATTCTTTTCAATAGCTGTATAAAAAGAGAATCTATCATTGAAAACATTTAACAATTTTAATCGTACTTTGAATTCACTTAAATTTGGCGCGAAACGGATATTACGCGTGGTGACCGCAGGTTACTGATACAACAGGATTTATCCTGAAATGACATTAAGAATGACAATATTAATGTTATCTAACTTTGCTGAGTCATTTCCTAGTATAGAAAGTGCAGTGAAACGTTACCTAATACTGAATTGTAATTCTTGAACCTTAACTTCCGCTCACTGATTCAACATAAACAAGTTCTTCTTTCTCATCCTAAACCTTAGTATAACTCTTAGACCTACACCTTATTGTAATTCTAGAACCTAAAACTTTCTTTTGTTTCTTAAACTAAACTAAATCTGAGAGTATACTATTGACCATAAACCTTGTTATTCTTGAACTAAATCTTCTTGTAATTCTTGACCATAAACCTCCTTGTGATTCTTGAACTATACCTTCTTGTGATTCTTGAAATAAACTTACATGTAATTCTTGAACGAAACCTCCTTGTCATTCTTGAAATAAACTTACATGTAATTCTTGAACTAAACCTCCTTGTGATTCTTGAAATAAACTTACATGTAATTCTTGAACTAAACCTCCTTGTGATTCTTGAAATAAACTTACATGTAATTCTTGAACTAAACCTTCTTGTAATTCTTGAACTAAACCTACTTGCACTACTTGAACTAAATCTACTTGCACTACTTGAACTAAACCTACTTGTAATTCTTGAACTAAACCTACTTGCATTACTTGAACTACACCTTCTCGTAATTCTTAAACTAAATCTACTTTCACTATTTGAACTAAACCTTCTTGTAATTCTTGAACTACACCTTCTTGTAATTCTTGAACTACACTTTATTGTAATTCTTAAACTTAAATCACTTAACACCAAACCCCATTTAAAATGTCCTGTAACTTTTGAACCTGAAATTGTGATTATGTTGTTTCTAAGCTTAACTGCGAACTTCTTCACGTTCTTCAATCTTAACACTTACAAAAAAGTACTTAACATATTCTTAATCAAAATTATAAACCTTATACAAAAGTACATGAAAGTTCACGGTGTGGAAATTAGGAAATGTTCTGCATTATAACCCCAAAACTAGAAGTAACTAGAACAGTTTGAAAGATGATTAATTGATTGAAATAGAATCACGTCACCCTGATTTAACATCCGGTCTAACACGACCAATCAAGAGGTTAAAACTTTTGATTAAAATAGCGCTAATCTACCGTGCTTGATCTCTATATACACTGTGGCAACTTTTAATCTGAAAGCTTTAACTCTCAAATAAGGTTTTCCTATGTCCAATGTTCCGATCAGCGGATATCCATCACTCGGTAAAAAAACCAAACGGATAACTGATTTAAACCGGCCAGGATTCAAACCACAAAAGTTTTGTTCTCTTAAGAACTATGTAGTATGTACAGTTCTCTAACTCTTTTTCTCGTTTTCTATCTTTAGTAGAATATCTCTAGTTCTCTATCTCTAATTCTATATCTCTAGCTCTCTATCTCTAGTTCTATATCTCTAGTTCTCTATCTCTAGTTCTATATCTCTAGTTCTCTATCTCTAGTTCTATATCTCTAGTTCTCTATCTCTAGTTCTATATGTCTAGTTCTCCTATCTCTTGTTCTCCAATTCCTAGTTCTATATCTCTAGTTCTCCAATCTCTAATTCTCTATCTGTAGTTCTCTATCTCTAGTTCTATATCTCTTGTTCTATATCTCTAGTTCTATATCTCTAGCTCTCTATCTCTAGTTCTCTATCTCTAGTTCTATATCTCTAGTTCTCTATCTCTACTTCTCTATCTCTAATTCTTTATCTGTAGTATTCTATCTGTAGTTCTCTATCCCTAGTTCTCTATCTCTAGTTCTATATCACTAGTTCTCTATCTCTAGTTTTATATCTCTAGTTCTCTATCTCTAGTTCTATATCTCTAGTTATATATCACTAGTTCTCTCTCTCTAGTTTTATATCTCTAGTTCTCTATCTCTAGTTCTCTATCTGTAGTTCTCCATCTGTAGTTCTCTATCTCTAGTTCTATATCTCTAGTTCTCTATCTCTAGTTCTATATCTCTAGTTCTCTATCTCTAGTTCTATATCTCTAGTTCTTTATCTCTTGTTCTCTATCTCTAGTTGTATATGTCTAGTTCTCTTATCTCTAGTTCTCTAATCTCTAGTTCTATATCTCTAGTTCTCCAATCTCTAATTCTCTATCTGTAGTTCTCTTTCTGTAGTTCTCTATCTCTAGTTCTATATCTTTAGTTTTATATCTCTAGTTCTATATCTCTAGTTCTCTAATCTCTAATTCTTTATCTGTAGTTCTCTTTCTCTAGTTCTCTATCGCTTGTTATCTATCTCTAGTTCTATATGTCTAGTTCTCTTATCTCTAGTTCTCTAATCTCTAGTTCTATATCTCTAGTTCTCCAATCTCTAATTCTCTATCTGAAGTTCTCAATCTCTAGTTATCGTTCTCTATTTCTCTATCTCTAGTTCTAGATCTTTAGTTTTATATATCTAGTTCTCTATCTCTAGTTCTATATCTCTAGTTCTCTATCTCTACTTCTCTATCTCTAATTCTTTATCTGTAGTATTTTATCTGTAGTTCTCTATCTCTAATTCTGTATCTCTAGTTCTATATCACTAGTTCTCTATCTCTAGTTTTATATCTCTAGTTCTCTATCTCTAGTTCTATATCTTTAGTTATATATCTCTAGTTCTCTATCTCTAGTTCTATATCTTTAATTCTCTATCTCTAGTTCTCTATCTCTAGTTCTATATGTCTAGTTCTCTTATCTCTAGTTCTCTAATCTCTAATTCTCTATCTGTAGTTCTCCATCTGTAGTTCTCTATCTCTAGTTCTATATCTCTAGTTCTCTATCTCTAGTTTTATATCTCTAGTTCTCTATCTCTAGTTCTATATCTCTTGTTCTCTATCTCTAGTTCTATATGTCTAGTTCTCTTATCTCTAGTTCTCTAATCTCTAGTTCTATATCTCTAGTTCTCCAATCTCTAGTTCTCTATCTGTAGTTCTCTTTTTGTAGTTCTCTATCTCTAGTTCTATATCTTTATTTTTATATCTCTAGTTCTCTATCTCTAGTTCTATATCTCTAGTTCTCTAATCTCTAATTCTTTATCTGTAGTTCTCTTTCTCTAGTTCTCTATCTGTAGTTCGCTATCTGTAGTTCTCTTTCTCTAGTTCTCTATCTCTAGTTCTCTATCTCTAGTTCTCTATCTCTAGTTCTTTATCTCTTGTTCTCTATCTCTATTTCTATATCTCTTGTTCTCTATCTCTGGTTATCTATCTCTAGTTCTCTATCTGTAGTTCTCTTTCTCTAGTTCTCTGTCTCTAGTTCTCTATCTCTATTTCTCTATCTCTATTTCTCTATCTCTAGTTTTCTATCTCTAGTACTCTATCTCTCGCTCTCTATCTCTAGTTCTCTATCTCTAGTTTAATATCTCTAGTTCTCTATCTCTAGTTCTATATCTCTAGTTTTCTATGTCTAGTTCTCTATCTCTAGTTCTCTATCTCTAGTTATCTATCTCTAGTTCTATATCTCTAGTTCTCTATGTCTATTTCTCTCTTTAAATATCTTTGGCTATCTATCATTATAGAATTCTGTTCTTATTCATTTCTCTGTTTTATGTTCCAAATATTTACCGTTTTATTTTTTAATATGACTCATTAAGATATATGTATGTATATTACATATGGTGCACTATGTAGTTCTAAGTTGTTTTGTCGCTAGCTATACATCTGCTCTAAGATATA